CGCCACGGTTTCCGTGACGGTTGTCCCAGCCGGTGGCGGTAGCGTTGCTGCTGGAGCTGGTGGCGGTTTTGCCGTGACATTAAGTAAATGTTTTTTAAAATGGATCTTCCCTAATTCTACCTTCGGTTTTGGAGGTGAAGACTCCTCAGTTGAACCAGCGGCATCCCCCAAGTCCACTTTACTTTTGGGGTTAAAGTCACTCTGAAGGGGTACTGCCGGAGTTTCATTTTGTTTCTCGTTTCCGAGACCAGTCAGAAATCTATTCGGTAAGGTTTTCTTGGTTAAACTAAAGCTGAAAGACACCTTTTGTCTTCCTTGCTCCTCAAGGTTAACCTTTGTTTTGGTGCCTTTGGGCAAAAAGCGACTGGAAGCAATGCCTTTGAACACCGGGCCTTTGATAAAACCAGCCTTCTGCACGGTTTCAGGCTTGCCCTGCAAAAGAAAAAGAAGATGCAGTCAGAGGAATCGGTTTCGAGGGGTTTGAATTCTGTCCTACAGGCACGCCGAACAATTTTCTTCTACCCGGTGAATTTTTCATGATGATGAAATAGAAATTGATACCCTGGGCTGGAGTCTGGGACAGCATCGCTGCGCTGCCTTCTGCGCCCGGCTCTCTCTCGAACAAAACCAATTACCCAGTCGTTTCCAGTTTGGAGCAAAACCTCCTTTGGGGTTTGGGCTGAGGCTTTTTAACTGAATTAACGACCAACCTGAGCGGCCTTTTCTCATTTAATTCTTATTTTTTTAAAAAAGAGATAGAGTTCAACACACAAAGTTAATTGAAGAGAGAGAAGTGTTTTATTTGTGCTGTTTCTGTGGTCCCAGGCTACAAAATACCCTGGAATTTCGATCTCTAATTGCGTTTGTTTTCACATCCCAGGAGTATGCACCTGGTAGGTGAAACCCAGATGGTTTCAGCATAAATCAGACTCTCAAGAATTACAGCGACAATTTCAAGCCCAGTCCTTTCCCACCAACAGCCTTATCTCTGCCATTAGTAATTCCCACTAAGTTTCCAGGCTCGGGCGTAGATCAGTATTAATATATCAACCCCCAAGAATTCCCATCAGGACTCAGTCGTGCGTGATGACTGTGTCACCTTGGGGCCAACCGACTGCAGAAAGCTCCACGTGCACCTCACCAGCAGCTCTCTGCCATCTCCTGCCCAGGATCCCACTCACCACCCTGCGCTGAGGACCGCACCACAGCAAATCCGTTCGTGTTTGATGCTAACGACCCGAAAGTCATCTTCTCTAGGACATGAAGAGCTGAGGATCTCCACCAAGAAAGCTGCTGTGCGACTGAACCCTGCCTTTGGAAATGGAGCAAGTCTAGAGCAACAAAGTTCCTTCGGCACAGGAACCTCTTACTTCCCAAGATGTATTTATCCAAACCTAAAGATTAGCAATTTTCAGAGTGTCAAGCACTGTATCTTTACCCATCCTGGCATTTCCCCAACTATTTTAAAGCTTAGGGCTCATGCACACAAAAGCTGTGTCACAGGGGTGTGAATCCTGTAGATCATAGAATCCCAGACTGGTTTGGGTTGGAAGGGACCTCAAAGATCATCCAGTTACAACTCCCCTGCCGTGGCCAGGGACACCCTCCACTACACCAGGTTGCCCAAAGCCCCATCCAACCTGGCCTGGAACACTTCCAGGGATGGGGCAGCCACAGCTTCTCTGGGCAACCCGTGCCAGTGTCTCACCACCCTCAGAGTCAACAATTTCTTCCTCTCCCCTCTCTCAGTTCAAAGCCATTGCCCCGTGTCCTGTCACTACATGCCCTCGTAAAAAGCCCCTCTCCAGCTTTCCTTTAGGTAAAGCCCCTTTAGGTACTGGAAGGCTGCTAGAAGGTCTCTCTCCAAGTTTTCTCCTTTCATTGAGCCAAATACAGCAAAACTATTTTTTTTCCACAAGTTAAGTCCTTAAATAATTGTCTTTTCATGGTGCAGAAAGTAGCATCTGCCTACACCGAGTAATTCAAGGGCACCGTTGCGCTCTGCTATCACACCGCTGTGTGCAGATGGCAGAAGTGGTACTGAAGGCAGTTCTTTTCTTTCCCTGATTTAACCACTGAACTAGAGGCATCCCAAGATAACATCAATTTGCTTTATCTGGACCCTCAGCGTCTCTCGACTCAAGAAACCCACAGGTCAGACTAACCAGGTTGGGATAATGTGTATCTCAGGAGCTACATCGAGAAAGGAATCAGTTTTACTCACCTCATTTTCTTCTTCTCTGTTGCAATCCAGCCGAGAAAACATGCAAAAGAAAAGATAAAAACAAGGTGTAAATATCAGGCAGAAACAAGAAATGTAACATTCCATCTCCGGCACTGCAAACGGGCTGGACCTGGGGCCACAGAGGGAGCGTGACACCAGCCCCACAAATAATCCCGCTGCACGAGACGTCCCGACCAACATCACCCAACGGTCAAGCAGATGTGCCAACCACCTCTGAGGGGGAGCACAGCACAGTTTAGAAGCTCAAGAAGTTCGACGCTGGAAGTTCTGCGAGGACTTTGACAGAGCAAACCTTTTTTGAGCAAACTGCTGTCTTGGTGGTGTCTTGTGAGGGTTTGCCAACCAGCCAGAACCTTATTTCAGTAGACACTGCGGAGGCAACGCAGATATCAAAGTCTTGAAAACAAGAGGTAGGAAGCTTTTTGGTGGTTTTCTTTTGATTTTAGTATTTCCTTTAGCAGCCCAGGAACAGTGAAAGTATCTGCCTCTCTCATCGCCAGAAATTAAAGATATTTATGAACAACTTACTGCTGCATGACCTGCTCCGGACCTGCAGCCCCGGCTATTTACCACAACACTTAGAATTAATTAATTTGGCAGCTAATCGCTCGACAATGAATTCATTTGGAGCATTACCTCGATCCCGACCCAACCTGCCAATGCTCTGAGCCAACGGAAAAGCCCAACTTTTCTTTGCTTCCCTAAGTCCTTCACTCCGATACTACGAGCAAAGCAGTTTCTCCTACAAGGAAGGAGAAGGAACAACAACACGACTACTCACTGCTTGCTCTGCCCCATACCCAGGAGAGTTTCAGTGAGTTTCTCAGCCCCCAAAGGAAAACTACAGAAGCAGATGTAGAAGTTTCAGCGGTTACCGATACTCCTTAACCGAGATGTCACCAGCTCATCTGTCTTCACCTCTTATTTCCTCTCCCAGAAGTCCAAAAGCACTTTCCAGTGCTTTTAACCTTCACGTTTTCCTGCAGACAGCCTTTTCCCCGTCTACCTTACAGATACAGGTGAAGTTTTCAGTTGGAGTTTTGCTAAATTTAATCAGCTTTTGAGCCATAACTCAGCGCTGTCGCGGTGACGCAGTTGCAGAAAAGGTTCAGAGATTTCACTTCGAGCCTCAGCTAATCGAGAAGTATCAGTTTCTGGACAAGAAAGCCAAAGCTCTTGATTTCTACATGACCCAGGCAGGGACCTGACGCGGTGACGGTGCCGCAACAACCACCAGTTTCCCCATTTAAACCATCGTCAACAGAGAATTAGAAGCAACCTGCTAGAAAGACCTATCACCAGCAGCAACATACTCCTACCTCTCCGAGGGCTCACGTCCAATTGATAAAAGCTTATTAATAAGCTATAAATCATTCTTAGAGCAGCAAGAACAAGGTTTGTTTTCACTGAGGAAACATGAGCCACGAGTTTAAACAAGCCGTGGAGTGCACGAGGGCACGGATGTGATTTAATGGGGTCAAGCAAGCCGTGAATTCGCAATGCTGCTGACGCAGAGGAGGTCAGAAGCCCTCTCAGAACAGCACTTTGACAAGAATTACTGCCTAAAAGGAGGTTTCATTTTTAGGATTACAGAAAGTGGAGCTTTAGACTTCCAGGACACCGAGACTGTTGACGGTCACACGTTTTGAGCATTAAACTCAAGGGATGAGGACAGCACCGAGGTCTAGCGCAGCCAAGATCCAACGTCAGCATCGGACTCGATGATCTTAAGGGTCTTTTCCAACCTAAATGATGCTCTGATTCCATGTATGTGTTGTGACACAGCACAGTATAAAAACTAACAGATGGAACTTGGTGGTCCCAAACCAAAACCAGAAATAACTGCCTCTTTATACATAAGAACACAAATTGAAGTAGCTGCATACTGGGAGACAGGTAATGAAGTTTACTAGTTACAATAAATATCCTGTTGCAAGAGTAAAGTAAGTCATAGAATCCCAGAATGGTTTGGGTTGGAAGGGACCTCAAAGATCATCCAGTTCTAACCCCCTGCCATGGGCAGGGACACCCTCCACTACACCAGGTTGCCCAAAGCCCCATCCAACCTGGCCTTGACCACTTCCAGGGATGAGGCAGCCACAACTTCTCTGTTCCAGTGCCTCACCACCCTCAGAGGGAAGAATTTCTTCCTTATTAATTCCTCTTAACAATTCTATTTTTGCTCTTGTTGCTGAAATGTTGCATAAAACCAGTATTAAGCTAAAACGCTGGCAAGTACTCAAAGCAGAGGTCTCCAAAAACTAAAAGCCAAGAATAAAAT